TTTCGTAGAAGTTGCTCATTCAACATTACATACAAACATGTTCAACCCACGTTAAAATTCATGTTGTATATTCGTTTTCAAATCTATATAAAACAGATCTCAGTATCAAGACTCGCTTTTATTATTACTAGGTAGATTATGTACCGCACTTCGCTGCGGCTTTTTATAGAATTAGAAGTATTGTTTGTCATCCCGTATTTAATTTTTGATCGTGATTAGCAGCGTTACAATAGAAAAACTCCTAACGGAATCTAAATTGGCAGGTGATTTTACTTGTATGTAATGATTTAACCAGGGTTGAACTACGATTTTAGCACAAAATGTCTTAATTCGAACTTTTCTTGAACGACTTTCCGTATGATTTTACAATTTTTGATATTTTCTAAACATATATCGAGGCTCGGGTTGGATCAAAGTGTCAAGCTTGATTTAACCACGATTGAGCTATGATTTTAGCACAAAATATCATAATGCTAACTTTTCCGGTACGACCTTCGGTTTGATTTTACAGTTTTTGAATTTTTTCTGTACATCGAGGCTCGGGTTGGAGCAACGTGCCAAGCCTGATTTAACCACGGTTGAACTACAATTTTAGCACAAAATACCCTAATGCTAACTTTTCTGGTACGACCTTCGGTTTGGTTTTACAGTTTTAGGTTTTTTATGAACATAAATCGAGGCTCGGGTCGGAGCAATGTGTCTATCCTGATTTAACCACGGTTGAACTACGATTGTACCGTACTGGCGATCCAATAGAAAAAACTCCTAATGAAATCTTAATCGGTAGATAATTTTAGTTGTATGAAATTCTATAACCACGGCTGAACTAAATTTTAGCACAAAATGACCTAATGCTAACTTTTTATGTACGACCTTCAGTATTGTTTTACAGTTTTTTATTTATTATGTACATGAATCGAGGCTCGGGTTGGAACAACGTGTCAAGCCTGATTTAACCACGATTGAACTACAATTTTAGCACAAAATACCCCCAATGTTAACTTTACCGGTACAACCTTCAGTATGGTTTTACAATTTTTGGTCTTTTTTATGAACATGCATCGCGACTCGGGTTAGAGCAACAGGTCAAGCCTGATTTAACCACGATTGAACTACGATTTTAGCAGAAAATACCCTAATGTTAACTTTACCTGTACGACCTTTGGTATGGTTTTACAATTTTTGTTTTTTTTTTCCTAAACACAAATCGATGCTCAGGTTGGAACAACTTGTCAAGCCTGATTTTAACCATGGTTGAACTATGATTTTAGCACAAAATACTCTTATGCTAACTTTTCTTGGACAAACTTAATTTATGATTTTACAATTTTTGGTTTTCCGAACATAAATCGATACACGATAGTCGATTCGGAACAACGTGTAAAGCCTGATCCAATGTAAAAATGAGCTGCAGCCTGCAAGTAATGGATAAAATGATAGCTACTCATCTAAACCATACTTATAAGCACGTTCCGCTTCAGAACCTCCTCAATTCCAATTTCCCTGGCTTATGCGGGGAATGGATCAGGTCAGTAACCTTATGGTGAGTAACTATGAGTAACCCGCCCACATCAGCATGACACCAGCATCCTCTCTCTCCTGGAAAGCCTTTAATTTTCCCCTCCTTAATCTTTGACGGACGATTTCTCACTCATTTTAAGTCGAAATTTAATTTTTTTGCACAGTTAGATCAGATTAATTGTGCTCTTCAAAATGATATCCACTTTGATATATTTTTCGAACAAAAAAAAATTGAGTCATTTTATACCAGTCTATACCATATGGTATTGACTGGTATTGAAATAAGAGCATACCTATGGTTTGAAAAGCGTACCATGGTGGTATGGCACAAACCAAGACTGTAGGATGATTGAATACATGATAGTAGAAGTATATTAATTGTCATTTACGACTTTTAACATTGTATACCATAAAATACCACTCCGTACCATGGTGGTATTGTATGGTATTGTGTGGTATTTTTTGGTCTTGTAATTTGTTCACCCAGAAATTTGTAGATCAAATAGATCATGATGAACTCGTCCCTGCTGTGCAAACGTTTTCAAAAACGAATGAAAAACGAAGAAAATACCATATGGTATGTAGTTGGTACCGAAAGGCCAGAATTTTTTTTCCTCAAAAAATATTGAAAATTGATCTCATTTTGTAGAGCACGATGAACTCGTTCCATCTGTGCAAAAAAAATTAAAATCCGAGTTAAAACGAAAAAGATATGAGTCAATTAAGAAAACTAGTGAAAATAAAAATGGTTTTTAATTCTCCATCCTTAGATCTGAATTTTCTAAATGAAGGGTCCAGATTTGGTTATTGATGGGTGCATAACCATGGATTATGCACCCTATCTTGAGCGGGAATGGATCAGGTCAGTAACCTTGTGGTGAGTAACCATGAGTAACCCGCTCACATCAGCATGACATCAGCATCCTCTCTCTCATGGAAAGCCTTTAATTTTTTCCTCTTTAATCTTTGACGGACGATTTCTCGCTCATTTTAAGTCGAAATTTAATTTTTTTTGCACAGTTAGATCAGATTAATTGTGCTCTTCAAAATGATATCCACTTTAATATATTTTTCGAACAAAAAAAATTGAGCCATTTTTTACCAGCCTATACCATATGGTATTGACTGGTATTGAAATAAAAGCATACCTATGTTTTGAAAAACGTACCATGGTGGTATGAACAAACCAATACTGTAGGATGGTTGAATACATGATAGTAGAAGTATATTAATTGTAATTTACGACTTTTAACATTGTATACCACACAATACCACCCCGTACCAGGGTGGTATTGTATGGTATTTTTTGGTCCTGTAATTTGTTCACCCAGAAATTTGTAGATCCAATAGATCATGATGAACTCGTCCCTTCCATGCAAACGTTTTCAAAAACGAATTAAAAACGAAGAAGATACCATACAATACCACCCCGTACCAGGGTGGTATTGTATGGTATTGTGTGGTATTTTTTGGTCCTGTAATTTGTTCACCCAGAAATTTGTAGATCTAGTAGATCATGATGAACTCATCCCTGCTGTGCAAACGTTTTCAAAAACGAATTAAAAACGAAGAAGATACCATATGGTATGCAGTTGGTACCGAGAGGCCAGAATTTTTTTTTCCTAAAAAAATATTGAAAATTGATCTCATTTTGTAGAGCACGGTGAACTCGTTCCATCTGTGCAAAAAAAAATTAAAATCCGAGTTAAAACGAAAAAGTTATGAGTCCATTAAGAAAGCTAGTGAAAATAAAAATAGTCTTTAATTCTCCATCATTAGATCTGGATTTTCTAAATGAAGGGTCCAGATTTGGTTATTGATGGGTGCATAACCATGGGTTATGCACCCTATCTTGAGCCATCTTGAGCCGCTTATGCGCACAGAACGGAAGGGCCTTAAAATCAGAACACAAAATCAAATAAAATGGGCCATAAAAGGGAAAAAATCCCAGAATACACCAATTATTAAAAAAAATTACCAAAATACAGTACTTATAAAAGTAATTCCCAAAATACAGCAGTTTCAACATCACTGTCTTTGTCTAAGACAGTGATGTTGTCACCGTTTTGGTCTAAAACGATGATACATCACCGCTTTAGAAAAAAGCAGTGATGTTATCACCGCTTTGAACCAAAGCAGTGATGCCATCATCGCTGTCAAGGACGACAGTGATGGCATCACCGTTGATGTGGCAGGCAGTGAAGCCTTCACCGTTGGATCCAACAGCGGTGAAGGTGCGCGGATCGCTGACGTGGACGCGCGCGGGCACTTCACCGCTGAAGACCAAAGCGGTGATAGCCCCGCTTTCCACGTCAGCGATCCGCGCCCCACCCCGCGCCTTCACCGCTGCCGTCGGATGCAGTTATGCGCGGATTGTGGTTTTTCTCCACAATCCGACGCATCAGGAGAGGCCACGTCAGCGATCCCTGCCCATCACCGCGTCCAACAAAGGCGGTGATGGCGCTGTGTTTGTTTGGGGCGGTGATAACTGGCCAGGTGTTTTCCCAGCCCCAAACCCTATAAATACCCATCCCCCCTCTCATTCCAAACCACACCACCACTTCATACTTCTTTCTCCCTCCATTTTTCACTCTAGTTTCGTTCTAAGTATGCTCTGTGGTTGCGGCTAAGTCCGATCTTCCGCATCAGAAAGAATTACTAGAGTTTTTGTTTTGTTGTTTTGTCGATACTCTCGCTAGCTTTTCGGCAAAAAATGGACGAAGAGGCTTTGAGAGTACGTAAATTTATTTAATTCTTTTGTGCTTTTTTTTTTACATGGGTGCTAAAATTTAAATTGATTTGATTTCATATTTTTTTATAGATGGGTGCTGAGATATACGACCCTAGATTGTATATCGATCCTGGCCCAAGGGATCGAAGGTATTTAACCGGGCAAGATCAACATCGCTCTCGTTCAATTTGGAACAATAATCCGGTAGATACACTACAATTATTTCAATAGTTTTAAAGTTTTTATTTTGCTTTCTAAGTTTTTATTTTGCTTTCTATTGACTGACAATATTGTGTTTTTTGTTTTGTAGGAATCACTTATTCCCATCAGTCATTGAGGTACATGTCGATTGCCCCGTTGGCATCCTCGACTGCATCCCTATCTAGAGAGGGCGGGATTGCACAATTTGAGGCACTTTATGAGGCTAGATATTGACAACGATCTGCTGACGGCAATGGCAGAGCGATGGCGCCCTGAGCTGCATACCTTCCACTTTCCCGAGGGTGAAATGACGATCACCCTCAAAGATGTTGCCATCCTCACCGGGCTCCCGATCACCGGAGATGCCATCATCGACAGCTCGAGAAAACCAGAAGATGGTTGGGGGCCATTGATTCAGGAACGTCTGGGGTTCAACATGCCGACCACCACGCCCGTCGAAGGGGTTGGGCATCCACCACTGAATGCGGGGCAAGTATCGATCCCGTGGCTTGTTGACCACATCCAATTGGAGGTTAATATAGGCCCGGATACTCCTGAAGATCAGGTGGAGCGGTATGCACGTGTATACCTAATTGCCTTGGTTGGTGGGTTTCTGTTCCCCGACAAGTCAAATAAGTGGATACAAGGCATGTGGTTCCCTATGCTCCTCGGTGACTGGGACGAGATCGGGAGAAAAAGTTGGGGGTCGGCCGTCTTGGCTGGAATCTACCGAGAGTTGTGTACTTGCTCGAGGTTGGGAGCGAAACAAGCTGGTGGTGCGATGTTCATACTTCAACTCTGGGCATGGGAGCATCTTCCGTTTCTCGCACCTCAAGACCCTCGGGAATTCTGGTTGCCAGATGATGAGCTACGATTTGTAGCAAATCCCCCATATGGTTTCAAGTAAGTTCAATTTAAGTTGAATTTATTTTAGATATGCAATGGTAGCTAGTTAGGTGAATTTAGATTTTAGTGAACTTAGTGAGTCCGTAATATACCTGAATCACTGGCATGCAGAAGGGAAACCCGTCAATGCATGGCTTAAATGTCCAGAACAGACGATGAAACATCAACTCGTTCTGTACTCGAACTTGATCTTCAGTTTCTACGTTGTTGTACCAAGGCACGAAAACCGTCCCAGGGTTGGACTCCTCCATTGCGGACATTAGTCTGGGGAGTAAAGCATACGAGTCATCCCAATCACCGTAGACATCAGCCATGGCCTTCTGCTTCCCATGCCACGCCTTCTTATACCTTATGGTGTAGGAGTGTCGATCCTTCACCTCCGCCATGATAGCTTTTATCTTGATATCTGGTTGTGCCTCGATAAGGTGCTTAATGGTTCTTGCCACTTTTTTTGCTTTCAGTTGCCGGTGATCCTGTGAAAGTATGGTTGAGGAGCAACTGTGGTTGTTCTCTGCTGTCCGCATGACCCAGACCCCCTTTCTCTTCATATATGCAGCACGAAGTTGCCACATACAACCCTCTCCAGCATTCTTACAAATGACATGCAGTTGTCCCTTGTCAGAATATTTTACCTTCCATTCGAAATTACGCCGCATGGCTTCTTCGCTAAAAGCGTCTTGCACATCGGCTTTCGAAGTGAACGCCATACCCACTTCCAAATTAGCAGTTGGATTATACACAGGCATGGGCCGATAGTCAGGGGCATCGTTCTGACCATATAAAAATTGATCAGGAACCTCTGTGTAGTAAGGCGTTGGTGCCTGTCGGAACGCCACCTCACTGTCATCGATATCGTCGTTATCGTCCGCATCTTCCTCCTCACTGACTGATCTCAAATCTTCCTCACTTTCATCGTCACTGGAGGCGAATGGATAGCTCGGCGAAGGAGGGTCATCGTTAGCAGCATAACCAGCATCGCCTTCTTGGTCATGCGAAGTACGCCCAGTTCGAAGGGTGTTTTCAATGTCACCCCACTCTGGACCCCAAGCAGGCCATTGATCACCGTCGGGCTGAACGATATCGACGGCAGTCTCACCACCATGTGGCAGATATTCTTCCCACCCAACACCTCCTTCAGAACTACCTCCTCCGTAGTTGCTTGAAGTACCTCCCCAACCATACCCTCCGGCAGAAGAACCTGCTCCGTAGTTACTTGAACTACCACCCCAGCCATACCCTCCTGCAAAACCATCATCATAAGAATACTGGTGAGAATGAGTTTCACCGACCGGCTCGGTCTCGACATACACCTCTGCAAGCCGCACCCCGTTCTCAGATATGAACTGTGTCATCATGTTCGCGTCGTCATCGTCATTTATGTCAACTCTTTCGTACATGACTCCGTCAGCACTCATGTTGGGATACCGGTAAGTAATTTGACGAACTCTCATTTGCCCATCCGTACAAGTCCTTTCTGCACACCTGTCATGGAGTTCTTGCCACGAGAATCTCGACTCAATTGTAAGCGAACTGGATTCGCCATCTTCATAGTCGATCCCAATGTTCGAGTTTGTCACCCGACCATTCCAATAAATAATAAGCCGAAACTTCTTAAATTTACCCATGTCTGCAATTTATAATAATTAAGTATAGTATATAATTAGTACATCTTGGATACAAAAACAATATCATCCAAAGCGATAATAAAATGCAACTAATTTATCTATTATGAGAAAACTAAACAAATTCATCTAAATTCATAACTAGCTAACTAACATCTATCATATCATAATTAAACTAAATAATATCATAACATATTTTCCAATAACCGCAATTCACTAAATACAGACAGTATAATTACTAACACATCAACATGTAAAAAATACATACTTATAACATACTCAATCCCGATCTATCATGATAACTAAACAAATTAATCTAAATTCAGTACTAACTAACTAACATATATCATTAATCTAAATATATAATTCTAACATACCTAATTCTAGCACATAATCAAAATGTAAACAATACATAATTCTAACATACCGAATCCCGACGAGTTTCTTGAGCAGTAAACTACGGAGGAACCAGCTGCGAAAACGACTTAACAAAACGATAATTTTGGTACTAATTTTCTGTTTGGCAGCAGGAGGGAAGAGGGGGCGTGGCTTTTTATAGGAAAAAATTGGGGGCAATCACCGCTTTGGACAAAGGCGGTGAACCATCATCGCCTTAGTCAACAGCGGTGATGGCTAGGTAGCTGTTACCTACCTGTCCACCTACCAGGGCTGTGTAAAACGTGGGGGCAATCACTGCTGTGGACAACAGCGGTGATGGCTTCACTGTTGATGTCCAAAGCGGGGATACGTTCCCCGCTTTTGTCAAAAGCAGGGATACAATCCCCGCCTTGGACAAAAGCGGGGAACGTATCACCGCTTTTGACCACAGCGATGATGCATTCCCCGCTTTTGTCCAAGGCGGTGATGCGTACCCCGCTGCTTCACTGCTTTGGACAAAAGCGGTGATCAACATCACTGTCTTAGACAAAGACAGTGATGTTGAAACTGCTGTATTTTGGGAATTACTTTTATAAGTACTGTATTTAGGGAATTTTTTTTAATAACTCGCGTATTCTGAGATTTTTTCCCCATAAAAGGAAGGGTCAATGGAGTCGCCAACCTTCTTTAATTTTTTATCTTACATGGATTCCACATGAAAGTAGAAATAGGCTTTAGCCTTTAAGTTTGCCGGTTCAAGGAAGGATGCGGAACAGTCTATACATTTTGTTACAAATATTAGTATTACAAGACTACATGTAGGAATTGCAATTGACATGTCGAGGTGGATATCTCGATGCCCATACCGTCTCGTGGCAAGTCGAGTTCAGATCGAATAATTTATTATGAGTGAGAGTTGGGGTAAGTGGACCCAAATGGATATGTAATTTAAAAGTAAACCTTTGAAAATATTCATTTATTCATTAAACAAACTATAACATTATTAATAGTGTTAAATTATTCGTAAAAGTTGATGTTATCATCTATTTCCAACTTTTTTATAGCTAAAATATTAGCTAACAAAAGTAAAATGCTAAGTAATTTGAGTAAAATTATATGTGATTTAAGCAAGAACGGGTCAAAAAATAGGGCGGGTCAGGTGGAGGACACTACTCATGCCCATCCTCCCTGCTTATAGGACGAGTATTACCACCCCAAAACAGGTTAAACAGGTCAAGTAAAATGGGTCAGATAGAAATTGACATCCTAACTACAGATTTTGTGTTTTCCAATATTATATTGTCCTTCCATTGTTGCTTGCTTCCCCACTGTCCGGTTCTTCTTGAACAAGGACTCTAGCTTCTGATTGGTAGGGTAAATCTAGATTCGTTGTGTTCAAAGTGTATCTGAAAATATCAACTACGTAGTGCTCATAGGGTTTCATTTTGAAATCAATAGATTTGATAATAGAGAAATAATATGTAGTGCTCATAAGGTTCTATTTGGAAATCAATATATTTGAGAACATAGAAGTGAATTCTGGAAGCACAGCAGAAAATACTTATAGAATTTGTTTAATTATAAATGTTGGTTTTGAAAACATAAATAATTAGGTTTTCACGTTGTTAGAAGCCTATTATTGTCAACTATTTTGCTGATATTATTTGTTCTAAATATTTTTTACCAGCTACTTTTGTGTAGTTATGCCTCGAAGAAATATCTCATGTGGAGAGTTATCCAAACAACCAAATAATGCTTCAATTTATTTGTGAAAATTGAATGTACGTACAAATATTTTTATTAGCATAATTATATACATCATACAATTAATGTGTGTCCGTGCGATGCATTATTCAGGGAAAAAGAGAGCTATTTTTATACCACCAGAAGGTGTGGTGGGTTCTAATTAGTCTCTATCTGAAGTGTAGAATAAATTTTCTATAGTATGAACATTGATGAATCATCAATTGATATATTATAATCTCTTAACTATTGCACACTGCTTGATCTTACAAAACTATCAATGTCCATTTTTCTTTTCAGAAATTGATGCACATAAGCGAGAGTTAAAGATAATTAATCAACGATTGACCAAATTAGCAAGAAGAAAACATGCTCTTTATATAAGCAAAAGCGTATATATGGAAAAATTGTCAACATTCATACTGGTAATCCATTATTTCATGTTTGTTGTTGATTTATATGTTATCAAATTATGTGTTAGATGCTAGGATTGATTATTTTAATGCTTCATATATCGGACTTCAAAATGAGATGAATAACTTACAAACTAAGATAAATGGATTGTTGAGGTCCATCAAACTTGCTGAAAATCGTTATAGTCGTCTTCGGTTGATGCGATCTAGAGACTTTCGAGGTTTATGAATATTTTGATTATTTCATTTTCTTTTATTTATTATAATGTTGAAAGTCGTATCATATGTACTTTTTATGTTGGAGTTAATTTTATTATAATTGTTGAAGTGTTTGATATTGGAACCCCCATCATATAAATGTGAATATTGTGGATCGATGGTGTGGAAAGGAGAAAGTACAAAACCCACAAGGAATTTCATTGTGTTGCAAACAAGGCAATGCAACTATTATTGACATGAAAGTTGATTAGGTATAGTTCGTTGATTAATATACATGCCAAGTGATTTAATATTTAATCTTTTAATATATAATTTATATTATTTTTTTGTACAATTCAAATATTATATTACTATTGCATAACAAAGAACAATTCACTTAACAATTAGCAGAAACCTTACGTACATATTAAAGTATTAAATTAAATATCTAAGCAACTTCTACCCACCTACTGTATCTAATGAGACTATTTTTGTATTATTGATTGATTAACATCTAAAAAATAATGTGTACTTCAACCATTTTTGTATGCACGTTATTATCATTATACAGATTCAGGATCACCCTTCAAGTTGCGGATAAAACAAGAGATGTTGGCTTTGTTGTTATGGACAGAGTGACAGTTCAATTTTTAGGGATGTCGGTTGAAAGGCTATTCCAAGACAACGATAGAATTAGAGGACCACCACCAACTCATCTCCTACAAATTGAGAGAATGACATTGTAGTTCGGCATCAAGCTCACAGATTACAACATCGCTAATCCAACAGGCGAGTACACAATTACTAAAATAGGGAAGGATGAGGAAAAGCAGACCACCACGATATGCCTGAACTGATCGAGGTAAATTATATTTGAATTAAAATGATGATCAATCTTAATTACAAATTTTTGCTATTCTCTATTGGATTTGAATTTTAATACACCCACTATTAAAATGAAATCTGATTAGGTATAGTTCGTTGATTAATATGCATGCCAAGTGATTAAATATTTAATCTTCCACTATACAATTTTTTTTTTTTTTTTTGCAAAATTTAAAGATTATATTATTATTGCATAACAAAGACCATTTCACTTAATAATTAGCAATGCATGGCACCTATACAAACATAAACCTTTCGTACATATTAAAGTATTAAATTAAATGTCTAAACAACTTCTACCCACCTCCCGTGCCTAATGAGACTATTTTCGTATTATTGATTGAATAATTTTGAGACTTTGTATTTAATATCTAAAAAA